AAACCAGCTGCTTTAAAGAGATCTGCGAAAAGGTGGACGAAAACCCATGGGGTGATACCTACAAGGTGGTCATGAAGAAAATAAAAGGTGGTAAAGGCCAGGCACCAACCGGTCCCACCCTCCTAAAAGACGTCGTGCAAACTTCCCTTCCCTTCCCTCCTTGCAAACGCCAGGAGGTCGGCGACCGTAAGCAGAGAAACCGGAGGGAATGGAAGCACCAACGGTCACGGACGAGGAGGTGGTCCAAGTAGCAGAAAGATTTAGTAATGCCAAAACGCCAGGCCTAGACGGCATACCAAACAAGGCTCTGAAGGTTGCCATTAAGCACAACGTTTACCGAACTCTTTACGCGGTGTCTGCGAGAAGGCGTCTTCCCAAAAATCTGAAAGAAACAGCGGCTGGTCCCACTGCGGAAACCAAGCAAGCCGGCAGGAGAACCAAGCGCATACCCACCTCTCTGTATGCTGGATACGCTTGGTAAGATACTGGAGCGATTAATTTGTGTACGGTTGGAGCAGCACCTAGAGGAGGAACTGCCGGGTCTCGCCGATAACCAGTATGGCTTTCGAAGACAGAGGTCTACCATTGATGCAATTAAAAAGCTCACCGATGTCGCAGGCAAGGCAATAGAAGGAACAATATGGCTATATGGCACGAAGGAATACTACGCGGTGGTGACATTCGACGTAAAAAACGCCTTCAATTCGGCCTCCTGGCCTCACATACTAAGTGCTCTGGAAAGAAAGAACGCGCCGCCCTACTTGCTAAGGATGGTATCCAACTACCTATCTGACAGGCTTCTGCTGTATGATACCGACGAAGCCCCAAGAAGTACGTGGTGACGGGTGGAGTACCACAAGGCTCCGTACTTGGGCCACTACTTTCGACTGTTCTCTATGATGGAATTCTGCGTATTCCGCTGCTAAGAGAGGTAAAAATTATCGGATACGCCCATGATATAGTAATAACAGTAGTGGCTAAAGACCTCGACCAAGTTGAGAACCTCTGCAACAGCACGGCGCAATAAATAAAGAACTGGCTCGCTGCAACGAATCTCCAACTCGCAGGGCAAAAAACCGAAGTGGTGGTGATGACAAGTCGGAAAAAGATGAAGGACGCTACGCTCAACATCGGTGGACATAGCATCAAAACACAGCAGTCGCTAAAATACCTGGGTGTCATGATAGACTCGAGATTAAGCTACAAGGTTCACATTGGTAAAGCCTGTGAGAAAGCGGCAAGAGTGACCACGGCTTTAACAAGACTAATGGCTAACATCGGCGGACCGAGCCAAAACAGACGAGCGCTTCTAGCAAAAGAGAGCCAGTCCATACTAATGTATGCAGCACCCATCTGGGGGCCCGCATTGCAGCGCAAGACTTACGCGAAGGCGGCAAAGTCGGTGTACCGACTAAATAGCATCAGGGTGACTAGCGCCTTCCGTACTGTGTCACACGAGGCGGTCGGAGTCTTAACGGGCATAATGCCCCCAGAAATAATGGCCATGGAGCTAAAAAGAGTCTTTGATAAATCCAGAAACTTAGGCAGGAGCCTGACCATCGAAGAGCGGAACCAAGAGAGGAAGGCAAGTACAAGTGAATGGCAAAGACACTGTGATGCGACGACATAAGAGAGGTGGACGCACAGGCTGATCGGTAACATAAAAGTGTGGGTGGAGAGGAAAGACGGAGAGACCGACTTCTACATGACACAATTTCTGACGGGGAACGGCTGCTTTCGAGAATACCTGTTCAAATATGGGCATGATGACGGGACAGAGTGCCCATTCTGCGGTAGCGGCGACGAAAACGTACTGCACGTATTCTTCCTCTGCCGAAAATACGAGGCAGATCGAGCAGACATAGAGCAGCTGATAAAGGAGAGTATGACGCCTGACAATATCGTGGGGCACATGATAAACTCAAAAGCGGTGTAGAATAGAATTAAGGTGTGGTCCTCCAGGAGCTAAAAGCGAAAGAAAGACAGCGCAGCAGCGAAAAGAGAATGACCGAAGAACAACCCCAATGATATGAAGAAGGGCCATTCGGCAAGCTGAGCTTTGCGATGAAATGCCTAACGGCAGTACTGCAAAGCCTATTACAAGCTATAGGTGAGGGAGTTAAGGGTTTAGTACGTAGGCGTATCGTCTCGCAAGTACGACATAGTATGATATTACTGTCTGTGCGTGATCCCGAATGAGGTGCATCCTTAGCGAACGGTATGAATCGTGCATGCTGTTACCAGTATACCAGATACTGGGCAGCATCTTAT